CTTCTAAGTGAAACACGAAGCCATCAGAGGACTTCTGGGAGAGGGGTAATAGAACCTGCCACGCTTCCATAGGGGCAGTCTGGCTGGGATGAGGAGAGAGACCACAGGAGCTCCGGGGAAGCCAGGAAGCATGGAAAGGAGTCTAGGTAAGAACAGATGGTGGTTCCCACAAGGCTTAGAAGTAGAGGTGGGGAGGAAAGAGGATACATGCAGAATGAACACAAATATGCACACATGCACACACTGGTAGTTGATGAACCCCTCTGGAAGGCTCAGAGATACTGGCATCTTTTCTTCTCCCTCTCCCAGCATCCTCTGCCCCTGGCTCTCAGGGATAAGTTAAGCTTCCTAGGATGGGAGCTCACTATATAGGACCTAACTGCAGGGGTGGTGGGAAAGCCAGGGCTCCTCAAAGGTTATATAAATATTTGTTGAGTAGTAACACAGCCGGGAGCAGGGCCCCTTCCTCCAGCTGGCTAATTTGTCACCCCAGAGAAATCTCAGCTGGGATCAGGGCCGGCTTTGGAATGGTCTACTTGCACATCTGTTGACTCCGGATACCCCAATTCAAGCTGTCCCACTGGCCATCGATCCAAACCATTTTAGTCTGAACCCCAGGGAAGGAGTTGTTAAGAAGCCATACTACTGCTTGTGGGAAGAACCTTGGCCCAGGAACAGGAAACTTGGGGCAGGTAGAAGGGTCTTGAGTACATCTCTTGCCCATTCTAGGCCTCATCTTCTTATCAGTGAATGGAGGGGTTGAATTAGGTGATTTCTGAAGTCTGATTCTGCTCTTGACTGTTTTGGATTCTCTTACCATGTGAACCTGCTCTGGTCCAGACTCTCTTGCGTCTTTTCCAGGAAGGGCTAGAGGTTCCTGGGCAGATAGAGGGATCAGGCTTGCTGGGTCAATAGTTGTGAAAGGAAGCTCATGCCAATAGCTCTGGAAGACCCTCCCAGCTCCTCTTCTCTCCAGCTCCACTTCTAAGCTTGGTGTGAACCACTGTCTATTCTTACCTAGACTACTGTGGAGGCCTCCTCTCCAAGTTTCCTGGCTCCCATGGAGCTCCTGTGGTCTCTCCTCCTCATCACAGCCAGATAACCCATGTGATCAAGAAATCCACTGGCAGGGGCCTGAACTCTGGGCCTGAGCACTGTCCCTCAGCTCTTCAGCTCAAGGCTAGCACCCTACCACTTGAGCCACAGCGCCACTTCCGGCTTTTTTCTTTTTGCTTATGTGGTGCTGAGGAATCGAACCCAGGGCCTCATGCATGCAAGGCAAGCACTCTACCACTGAGCCACCTTCCCAGCCCCTCTTCTACATATTTTTTATCAAGATCATAAGAGATGATTCCCTCAAAATCCCTTCAGGATTCAGTGGGGAACTGGGAGGTCAGAGCAGGTTTTTGAAAGCTGGTATAGGAAGGAGGTCAGGCGACTCCTCAAGCCTTTCTCTCCCCTTTCCTTGCCTTATCTAGTTTGATTCTTTTTCTTACCACTCTGATCACTTGCCTCTGCCAAGATGTTATCAGCTCAGCCCACCAAGATGTGTGGAGAGTTTGGGGCTCATCCATTTGAGAAGTTAGCCAGCCTGAAAATAAAGGCAAGTCAAGAGACAGAGTGGTGGGTGCCTTTTCTGGGACCTAGTCTACTCACTTACTTCTGGGACTGAAAACCTGGTGTACTGTCAGACCCTAGATGGGTGACACTCGAACCCTGAATTCTCTGGGCAGATGGCACTAAGTCTAGAGCACACAGAACTACCCGTCTTGTCTTCTTTTTCTTGCTCCATTCTAACCACCAGCCCCACTGGCCTTTGAGATCATGGTCAGGAAGCATCCCGCAACCTTTATTTTTAGATGTCTCTGTTGAAAATGGGACTTTGGCCAGGAAGACCTTGGACCTGAGCCCACAAGAATGCCGAAGATCCTACAAGTTTAGGAGTGAAAGGGAAATTACTCCCTCCCAGGCTTCTGCTGAGGGACCTTTTGCATCTTAATTAGGATCTGCCCTCTGCTTTGGACATTTCCTGACCTTTCCATGCCTCAGTTTCCCTTTTGTAAAGAGTCACTCTGATGGTATTGGCAGGAGAGACAAATGAGCTCAGGGCTCCCAAGAGCCCTTTGAAGGGAAGTTCCAAAGGAGCACAGAGGAGGCCTATCTGAGATAGATAGGCCTTTTTTCCTCTCGCCCTCTTTGGCTGGCTTTTCTTTCTGGAAGAGTGCCTGACTCCCAGCTCCCTGAAAGCAGGTGTCTTCGCCCCTCCACCATGGGTGTCTCCTACTCCCTCTAGCCCAGAAAGAAGAGCTCAGAGTCACCCCTGCACATCTACTGGAGTCAAGGCCGCCATGTCACCTCCCGCTGCCACACTCCAGTGATGGGCAAGGTCAGGCCCTCTTCAAGGGCAGGAGTAGGCCTGTTGACAAGGGGAGGTTGTGTTTGCCTAACTTTACAAAAGCCCCCAGACAGCATTCCTCTTTAGTGCTGCTGTCCAATTACCCAAAGTGCCTTGACCTGGGAGCTGAAAATAGCAGGTGCTAATTTGCATGCTATTTATTAAAGTAGCAAAGCCTCTGGGACCCTGCCCCTTCTCCTGTAAAAGCCCATTCCAGCCTCTGCCAAGTAGGAAGATGAGCACACCAGAAGACTCATCTCTCCCATCCTGGAGGCAAGAGGGGCCCATAGAGCCTTTGATCCTCCTGGATTCTGGTAGTTCAGAATCCATCCCAAGGGGTGTAGAGGTCTTCCAGGCCTGAATCCTCTTAGCAGGGACTGGTAAAGCTGAGGGCCACTCCCTGGAGCAGAGCCACTGGCTGAGAGACTTGTTTGTTTTGTGGCTTGGTCTCCCAGTCCCTGTGTGGGCTGAAGCAGAGGGGGGAGAAAAAGGGGGGGCGGACTGGAGGACTGATAGGCTGCCAGGTATGAGGGAGAGAGCTAGGGCTGTGTGGGCTACTGGGGAGCTGTGAAGGATTGTTCAAGGACAGCTCTGTTCCCTTACTGAGACCCCTGCCTTTCCAAGTAAACTCCTTAGCCTCCAGCTCTCTGATCTCCCTCCTTCCAGCTCTGCCCAGAAAACCACAAAGGAGGAAACCTTATGGAAAACCTACAGCTGGATCTGTAGAATATCCCCTGCTGATGACATTCCCTTGGCTGACATAGTCATTTTACATGAGATTCACGCTGGCTGAGGCTAATGAGAATCCCTTATACACACATCCCTGTAAGCTATTCCCCAGATGACCCAGGCCAGCTCCAGGGACAGACTCCCCAGAGAACCCATGGTACTCACGCTTCGTTTAGGGTAGTTCTGAGACTATAGCCTAGGACCATACCAGAACAAGAGAGCCAGGATAGGAGCTTGGTGCACAGACACTATCCCATATTAAGATGGGAGAAAAAAGTACCACTTGTCTTGCTCTGATTCCCTCAGTGCTGGTTGGCTTGGAAGCTGATGCATCTTTCCTACATTGTACCACATTAAACCACTCAGAACAGGACAAATGGAATCAAAATCTTCGTACTCCACACAAGGGGCTGCCTGTCTGACAGGGTGTGTATGTGCTGGTAGTGGGGGTTGAACTCAGGGTCTCAGTATTGTCCCTTTGCTTTTTTGCTCTAGAAGCTGGCACTTGGATTTTCCTGCCTGGGCTGGCTTTGAACTGAGATCCTCAGATCTCTGCCTCCTGAGTATCTGTGGTTACAGATGTGAGCCACAGGCACCTAGCCTACTGCAGCCTTTTACTCTCTTTTGATCCCAATTCATATTTGTAAAACTTGGGTACAATATGCACCTGTGGATAGCTGCCCTACCCCAACCCAGACTGTTGGTGGAGGGAGGAGGGGCGCTGGAGAATGAGGTCCCTCTGCTGAGGTTTCTACTCTTGAATCTCTATGGTTCACCTCTACTAAGGGTGCAGAACATCTGACCTGCGTCTGTATCAGGTCTGCACCCTCATTTGGTACAGTTGATGGGACAAACATGTGCTTCTTCTGCATCCCCTGCTAGAGCTATGGCTCCAGGTCAGTGCTGCTGAGCAGCTCAGGATTGAGGCCATAGGCAATTAGGCCAAAGGCTGTCCTTAGCAGTCAAAACCCATCCACACCAATGGATTGCTCTCCTTTAATGTTTGTGTAAACTGAGGCCCAGGGAACAAAAGCAGATGCCACATTAATCCTAAAGAACACTTATGGCACCAAGTTGCCCAAACACCAGAGACAGTTACTGCTCTGTGGCTCATCTTATTTCAGTCCTTGGAGGCTTTAAGAAGAAAATGTGGCTATTGTTTTTGTTGTTTAAGGAAACTGCAGCTTAGAACTGGGATGTAGCTCAATTGTAGTGTGCTTGCCCGGCATGTACCAGGCCTTGGGTTCCAGCCCACTCTCAACCTTCAGTGCTCATCACCCCCTCAAGAAGAAGAAGAGGAGGAAGAAACTGAAGTTTAAATCTACCCATTTCTAACACCCAGCCTTCCCAGCTTGCTCAGTTCACCTTGGGAGAGAAACCTTAGGCACATAGCCCTTCTGAGAGCACAGATACACCGAAGGAAAGCTGCCCAGCTCTGGTGTACCTCTCCTTAGGACCCTAAGGGATGAGGAGCCCAATGGGAAGGCCTTGCTAGTGGGTCCCAGGACTTTTTGACATCCTGTGATAAAAACGTGCATGTCTTGGGATCCTCAACTTCCTCGTCTGCATAACAGGGCTCCTGGAGGCAGTCAGGCAACGCTGTGTGCCTCCCCTCCTCATCTGTGAGGTCTGCTGAAGGCTGCAGGTGAGACTCGGGAGCGATCCCAGCCTCCTCCTCACCCCCAGCACAGCGCTGAGCTGAGCCAACCTCTGACCTTCACCCCCTCACCTCGAGATAGATCTTGTGGTACGGATGTACTGGTTCAGTGCTCCGGTTCTGACTGATGTGTAGGAGCCTGGAAGGGGGCCTGGAGGAGGCTGGGCGCTCCCCAGGTCCCGGCCACCCCCCCCCCCCTTACCCCTGGGCTCGCCTCAGCCGAGCCCGGGATCGTGCCCGCGATTCACGCCCCCTTCCCACTGCGCGGCGGGAGCCGGGGGGCTGGCGGGGCTCAGCCGGCGCGCCGCGGGTTAACCGGGAGGCGGCTCGGGTGGAGGTCGCGGGCCCCAGCCCCCGGCGGGCACGGGGGGCTCCCGGGGGTTCCGAGGCCACCGGGACCCGGGGTGGCTGCGGCGGCCGCGGCTCTTTGTCTACCTGCTCTGGGCGTTAAAGAGCCCGCTCGCAGCTTGCACCGCCGGGCCCGGGGACAGAAGTCAGCGACGGGGAAATGGGGCGCTGTCGCTTTAAGCGCAGCCCGAGCCGTAAGTACGAGCCCGGCTGCGGGGAGAAAAGGGGGCGGGGGCCGCGGCTGGGCCCGGCCTCCGCGTGGCCCGCGGCCGGCACCTCGGCGGACCTGCGGGGCGTCGGGCGGGCCACTCGGCGGACGGCCGCCTGCGCCCGGGAAGATGCTCCATCTGCCCCCGCCCAGGGCGGGGAGGACCGCGAATTTCCCCCGCAGGTAAGCTGCGCCCCGCGCGGGGCCGCCGCAGCGCGCAGAGCCGGGGTCGCGATCGCGCCCCCCCCCCCGACCCCGAGCCCTGCGCCCCCCCCGACCCCGGGTCCTCCGCGGCTGGGGGGGGCGGGGCTGCGGGTCCGCGGAGGGCGTGCGGGGGGGAGCGCGGGAGGGGGGCGCGGGGGGGAGCGCGGGAGCGCGGGCGGGAGGGGGAGCGGGAGGAGCGCCGGCCCGCGGGCGCCCGGCGTTTGCCTGGCGGGGGGCGCCCGGGTCGGGGGCGGTGGGGCAGGGGGGCGGGGAGAGGGGCTTTGGCTCCCGCTCCCCAGCCCTGGACCAGCCGAGACCGAGGCCCAACTTGATGGAACTTCGCGATTGCCACCGGGGGCTGGGGTCGGGGGGGGGGGGCGACCAGGGTTTGGAGAGGGGTCTGCAGCCCCCTGCCCACCCAGCCGAGGCTCCTCCGGCGTGTGGGAGCCCTGGGTGAGAGGAGGGCCGGGGAGGTGCAGGACGGATCTGGGGGCCAGCCGCAGTCACCGGATGTGTCATCCTGGGCTGGTGGAATCCCGCCCGAGCTGGGCGGCCAGAAAGGGGCAGTGAGCGGCCCGGGCGGCCCGGGGGTGCTCCCGGAGCCACTTGGGGAAAGCACAACTTCCAGGGCGGCCCTGCGGGGGCTTCCTGGGGTTTCTGAGAGGTTCTGGCCTTGGGCTCTCAGCGCAACCGGTCCCCTCTGCCCTCCTCTTAGGAGACCTGGTTGGCTGGAAACTGGAGGTCAAGGTGCAATGGAAGACCCAGTGTGTGTGTGTGTGTGTGTGTGCAATGGGTGTGTGTGTATGTGACCTGGAGTGTGTGTGTGTGGAGACGAGGCCCACCTGTGTGTGTGTGTGAGACCAGGCCCACCTGTGTGTGTGAGACCCCGCGTGTGTGTGTGTGTGTGTGTGTGTGTGTGTGTGAGAGAGAGAGAGAGAGAGAGAGAGAGAGAGAGAGAGAGAGAGAGAGAGAGAGAGAGAGAGAGAGAGACCAGGCCCACCTGTGTGTGTGGAGGGGCGGAGACGAGGCCCACCTTAAACCTCACACAGCCTCTTTCGGCCCTGGTGTCCCAGACTCCTGACGTGCTCCCCTCCCCCTCTCGTTGGAGGGAACCCCAAGTGCTCTCCCGGGTCTCTGTTGCAACTCTGCACACAAAGCCTAGAGAGTAGGAGCAAAGAACTGGGCCAGGTCTGGGAAGAGGAATCTGCTGTCCCCTCCCCAGCAGGACTCCTGAGGAAGCAGACTCCTGCTGTGCTGCCCTCCTGGAAGGTGGTAGATGACCGGTGTGTGTGGGGGGAGGGGGTATCATAAAAACCATTGGGGACCCCTTAGGGATTCTTAGGTTAGATCTTGGACTGAATTGTGCAACCGTTCAAGAAGGTAAAGGAAATGGGTAATTCATAACCTCCAAACCCCATTGACTACTTAAGACCCACATGGAGTGTGCCCAGAGAAAATTGTGTAATTACCACCCAGCCAGGATTCACACTGGTTCAGTTCCCATTCGTGGCCTTCTCTATCCCGAAAAGTTGTGAAAATCCTCGGGGGATTCACTCCCTTGCTCTTCATGGGAGCCAGTCTTTCTAAGCTGCAGGCTTTTCTAGCCCCTCCCCCATGGTTTTATTCATGTTATTATTCTCCCTGCTCCCTTCTTCCACCCCACCCCACCCTGCCCCAGGGGAGCCAGCTTTTACCGGTGTGTCTGCTGCTCCATCTTGAGGCACACAACTGTGGGGCTCACCCCCACCCTGCTCCACAGGAAACAGTTTTCTGGGCAGGTGTGTGAGGGCGGGGCCCACCTGGCCTAGCTGCGGTGGGGTGCCGGTCACCTTACACCTGTGCAGCTGCTGCCTGCTAGGATGGGGCTGGGTTGGAGTTGCTTCCCTCTTCCTCCCCCCCTTTTCCTTCCCAGCCCCAGAGTTGCCCAACAGCTGCAGGCTGAGAGTCCTTGGGTATGCCAGCAGGGAAGGGATGTTGTAAAAGTACTGGTCAGTCCTCCAACAGCCACACTTAAATGACAGGATTTAACTAGCTTGGCTCCAGCCCATGGAGGGGGGAGTTTGGTCCCAGCCTTTGCTCTGGAGACAACTTGAAACCTTTCCTAGGAAGGATGTTTGACTGAGGCCAGTTGGATTGGGGTTTGGGGTGGGGGTGGGGGGGAGGGATCAAAGAGCCACTCTCCCTGCAGGCTGGGACTCTCCTTCAGCTCCAGGGAGGATGTGAACAAGATGAGGTGAATGACTTAATTGGCCCTCAACTGTCTCTTTGAGCAGCTTCTGAAGAGTGAGCTGCTGTCAGTCCTCCCAGACCCAGAAGAGTTTCCTTCCCAACCCACCCCCCCTCATCCAGTGCCTGGGGTTAGTACCTGTTCATGGATTTCTCCATGCCTAACTACCATTCCTGAACATCTCAAACCTTGTGTTCTGTCCAGGAGACCCCTTTCCTCCTGAGTCTTCCAAGCAGGAAGCTGGAGTCTGGGCTTCATCCTCCTCAACCCTCCCACAACTCCTTCCTGGCCAGGACCCTCAGGGAGAGTCTGGGGAGAGTCTAGGGATCCGTAGGGGCAAGGCCTGCACACTGCATTTGTGTTACTCAATCCAGAGAGTGACTCCCTGGAGCAGCCGGCTTCAGCTTGGCACTGACTCAGCCTCTGGGAAAGGACAAATGCCTGGGGACAGCAAAGCCAGCCATGGCTTCTCGTTACAGGGTTTTATGGGACGAGGCATGCACACCACAGGCAAACCACACTTGCTGCCTTAACCTCTTCCTTCAGAGGCACTGCCTTTGCTCGAAAAGCAGGGGAAGGAGGGAGGCGCTGAGCAGGACGCATCTTAACTAGGAGAGCTCAGAGAGGCAGCGGCCTGTGTCAGCATCTCACAGTCACCTTTACTCACTATACCTTGATGCTTAAAACACTGCAGTGCTAAGGGCATTACTTAATGAATTAATCTTTGCCACAACCATATAAGGTGCAGTTTATCATTATTTTGAGGGATGAAGTAAACATACATAAGATCACAGTGGGTGGATTTATCCTCGCACCTATGTCTGTCTGATTCTAGAATTAGCCCTAGCAACAGTGCTACCAGGAGCTGTTCTTTCTGACAGCCATCTCAGCCCCCAGATGCAGAGGCCAGATGCAGAAGAAGCAGAAGCTGAGCATCATGGGAGGACTTAGCAAAGGTATAGGGTTGGCCCCAAGCTCTCATGGGTATGTAACAGGCAGGTTTCGGACCAGAGTCAGCCAGCGTGGTGTGGAGCTCACTCTGCTTCCAATAACCTTTGTGACCTCACAGTCTCCAGCCTCAGTTTCCTTCTCTGTGAAATGAACACAGGCCCTGACCTGTCTCACTCCCTGGGGTATAGTAATGACAGATAATGTGGAGAGCAGAAGACTTTAAACAGGATGGTTTTACAAGGGAAATTATGGCCGGTTGAGGTCATAATCCCAGCCACAAGAGACCCCTGAACTGTTCAGATTGCCTTTTCTCCTTGCTATCTTTCCCTTCCATCTTGCTGGGACTCTAATGAGGGCATCTTCAGTGCAATACTTTAAATTGCTCCCTGGCTTAGCATCTATCTTTGATTTTTCCTGAAGTTCTTAATTGCCCATCTTTAGATTTCTATTCAATCCAAGCTAATTAGGATGATATATTTATATATTCTATTTCTGAGGGCAATTTACACAAATATAGACCACTTGTTAAGACGACTTCATCGTTCTTTTAAAAAGCAACCACGTCCATTCAACTTGGATTGTTGTGATGATTGGGCCATCCACTATTAGGGGTACTGGAGATGCAGCAGAGCTAAACCCTAAAGTGCTTATTCTCATGCATTCATTCACTCACTTATTCATTGAACACCTCTGATGTCAAGTGCAATGCTGGGTACCAGAATATTACACTGTACTCAATAGGATGTTGAAGGTGTGGCCTGAGTGGTCTAGTACTGTCTTAATACTGAGCAGCAAGATAGACACAGACTGTACATTTAGAAGCTTATAGTCTTACAGTGAAAACAGATGGTTAAAAGTAATACATTCATGGGAATAATGTGAGGGAAGGGGTGACATGTCCAAAAAGAAATGTATCCATTGCGGAGTCTAGTACTCCTAGCCTTGTGGAGAATGTGTAGGAAGCAAGAATTCAACCTCATCCTAGCTTTCTTGAGATCTTTCAGACATTTCCTAATTCTTGGCCATTTAAATCTTAGCCCCTATCCCATGAACACTGATTCGTCTTTGGAGAAGGAAACAATTTTTTTTTCTGAGACAAGGTCTCTGTAGTCCAGGCTACCCTCAAATTTGTAATCCTTCAGCCTTAGTCTCCTGAGCACTTGAAAGTATAGGCAAGCACTACAGCAGCTGGCTGGAGAAGAAATATTGACAAGAGAAATAACATTAGAGCCCTTTCCATCCTCCCTCCTAAAATATGTGTGTACACACACACACACACACACACACACACACACAGAGCAGGCTGGACACAGGTCCTTGAGTATTGGACTCAATCAAGAAATGCTGGGTCAGGTGCCAGCGGCCCATGCCTCCTAACTACTCAGGAGGCTGAGATCTGAGGATCTAAGATCTGCTGCCTGAAACCAACCCAAGCAGCAAAGTCTGTGAGACTCCTATCTCTAACTAACTAACCAATAAAAACTTAGAAGTAGAGCTGTGACTCAAGTGGCAGAGAGCTAGCCTTGAGCATAAAAGCTCAGGGACAGTGCCAAGGCCCAGCACCAACACACACACACACACACACAGAAATGCTTGATGGCATAGCCTACAGAGGCTAAAATTCCTTATGAACTAGTTTTCCTTCTTACTATATTGCTGCAGGATGCTGTTTGAGCAGTGGAGGGGCTGGTGATTTACTAGAAGAGGCAGGTGGAGAGGTACATACCTACCCCCAATATGTTGGGGACTTTTCAAACCCCTGTGCATTTGCCTGTGCCTTGCTGTCTGGTTCCTCCTCCTCGCTACCCTGAGAGCCTGGGTTTTATATCTTAATTTTTATTTTTCATATGAGCATATATTCAGGAGGTAACATGGATGGCCCCTGTCACACAGCCAGCAGATAGTAGAGCAGAAATTCAAACCTAGCTCTGACTGGCTGACAGCCCTTCCTCTGGAGAATATGCAAGTCTCAAGAACCTGGTGCCTTCTGCAAACTTGCGAATACGCTCCCCTTCGGGAGTCATTTTCTATAAAGAGGACCTGTTAATGGAGTTTTCAAGCTCCTGGGAAGTTGCTTTCCAACTTATCTATATCTGTCTCCCCAGATTCAAACTGAGACTGTCTACAAATCTGGAGAGATGCACAGGTAGGCGGAGAGCCCTGGGCTCATGATGCACATTTAAAGAGCATGTTGGGGGCAGGAAGGTCATGTGCAGAGTAAGGAACCAAGAACAGATCTTCCCTTCTGTTTCATCTCCACTGTCCTAGGTCCTCATTGAGGCCGTGCAGCAGTGATCTAGGGGCACGCACACGTGCTCCTGTCCACACACTGCTTTCTTGTGAGAAAGGCTGATTTGGTTTCCTTCAGGCTTGAAACATTTTCTCGTGGATTATTTAAAATCCTTCGGTAGATTGTACTGGACTATCAGGTTTTGAGCTCAGTGGTCCGACAACTATGTGGTTTTTAGCGGGTAGAGCGCTTGTAATAGGATCTACAAGGAGAACAAGCTTCAGATTTATGTCTGGTGTCATGGGTTTCTGGAAT